TATAAGTAACGTAAGTCCTTGTTTTTGCAATTGCTTGAATACCATTTTTAATTTATAATGTTTATTATTAAGAGTGTGTTTGGTAGGGATTTTTGGGGGAAGAATTGATTTTTGAATAGTGATATGATGAGAAATCTGTGGTTGAAAAAGAAGAGAAAAAAGTATTGATGTGATGAAAAATATTATTTTATTGAATAATGTGTGGTTGAAAATGAGAATTTGTACCAAACAGACCCTTAGTTTGAGATCTCTCTTATTAACTGTAATAAGATAATTAGTAGATCTATACACGTTAATTATTTAAGCTGTCGCGTCATTGTCGTGGATCCTTCACTTTGATTACATCAACATTTCAAATGTGTATGGTTACAATTATCCGTGCTCCCAATGTGCCTATGATATCACATGTCTAATCGTTGGTTAGTTCGACTTAATATTTAGGTGTAGATATTACCTTTTTTTTTTTTTTTCTCATTTTCAAAAAATTAAAATGATTGAAGTTTTTCCTTCACCACTAGTTGAAGTGTAATCTTCGCTGGACTCAAATTTATCAACGAGACAAAATTGATAACGTGACTACGAGCTCTTTCCATGCTATAACTCTAAATGGGCACGATGATAAAACTTTGGTCGATGGATCCCGATACTTGGGATCCTACTAACAATTCTTTCACTTTCAAAATAAATTTTTGTCCTTGCCTCGTAAAATATAACTAGTGGGCTCTCTTGTGATAAAACTAAGAGAAAGGAATATGATTTTTTTTTTTTATATATTAATTGGTCAAACGCGGTGAAAATATGGCTAATGAGAATTGAATTTTCAGATACTAATGATTAATACTTTACGTCATATGATTTGAACAATTATAACTTCTTAATCTGAATATTTTAAATATTTAGAACCGAAGCACCTTTATTTTAAAAGTCCACCTATGTTTGATCCACATTATTTTGGAGGAATGTATTCTGAAATAGTAGATTGATGGAGAATTTGTGGTTGAAAAAGAAAGAAAAGTCATTGATGTGATGAAAAATATTATTTTATTGAAAAATGTGTGGTTGAAAATGAGTAGAAGAGTGATAATGAAAATTTTAATGTGTACCAAACATGGGCTGATTCTTACTTCACTTTGAACAAGGCTTGTGAATAGGGCCCTCATCTGGCTCCTCTTTTGCTCAGAAGTTTGATTCCGAGCTAGCTCTATTAGTGGCTAATTCGACATGACTCTTGAAAAATCACTATTTGACTATTTTCATGAAAATATTTATTTTAATTAAAAGAATTCTTAGAAGGAATTGATTCAATGTGAATTCCACCAACAATACTTTTGAAATAAAAAATTCTTTTAAAATTTAGTTTTTAAACAAAAATGAATGAAAGATCCTCAAAATTCTTCTACAGGATGCAAGAGAAAAAAAAAAATGAAAAATACTATTCATCCCCAGTCTATGTGAATGTAAATGATTGGTTAAATGATATGTGAAATTAAATGACTTATTTAACTTCACCAATCATTTAATGCCACATTAACGCCATGTAGACTGTGGATGCATTCCCCAATGGGGATGAATAGCATTTCTCCAAAAAAAATTATGCCAAATGGGCCATAATAAAAGAATTGAAAAAACTTTTATAGTAACTCTCATTTCCTTGAAATATGTGTTACTTCATTTTTTGCTTATGTACAAAAAAACAGTAATTTATTGGATTGGGGGCGTTCTAACTGGTGGGTTTGATTGACGAAGATCGTGGCACGTGAACAGTTGATCTAATGGAAAATGACGATCGACAATAGTCGGACAATCATGCTAGGGTGCCAGAAAGAATCACACCCTAGTGGTATACACTCACAGTTGGGCGTGGGTAGGGGGATTTTTTTGCATTTTATATTCACGTGGGTCCCATGTGAGGCCCATGCACATACGATAGTAGGTCATCGAAGATGTTAAATTCTTTCTCCCAACATGACTTAATTCATAGTCGGAAATGAGATGTTTCCCAATATCTTATCATGGGCCAAGTCCCCACCATTACCAGGGTCTACATGGCCATGGTAAAGTAGCACGATTCATCTTATCCACCGTGGATCAGTTGCTTATCAGCGGGTGAGAGTAGTTGAGTTTACTAAGCACGGATCACAAATATTAACCGTTGATCAATACATACAATCCAACGGCTCCAAGTTAATCCCCACACCCGGATTCTCCTTATAATAAACCCCTATCCACATTATTTCGTCGCACTGCAATTCAATTAAAATTTGTTCTAATTATTTTGGAAGAAAATTCGTTCGGGAAAATGTCTGGAAGAGGAAAGGGTGGCAAGGGTTTGGGAAAGGGCGGAGCGAAACGCCACCGTAAGGTGCTTCGCGATAACATCCAGGGCATTACCAAGCCTGCGATTCGGCGTCTGGCTCGGAGAGGTGGAGTTAAACGTATTAGTGGTCTCATCTACGAAGAGACGCGTGGTGTCCTCAAGATCTTCTTGGAGAATGTCATTCGTGATGCCGTCACATACACCGAGCACGCTCGCCGGAAAACTGTCACTGCAATGGACGTTGTATATGCGCTGAAGAGGCAGGGCCGAACACTGTATGGCTTTGGCGGTTAAGCGCTTGGAATGTGATTGGTTTCTTAGATTACTTTTGGAAATTAGGGTTTCATGTAAATGCTCGTTTTAATTGGAGTATCGTATTGTGGCCTAAATGAATGTAATGAGCTCTTTTGGATCTTCAATATGATAGTTATTTTGATGAAGTGAAAATTTCTGTTCTTCAAAATTTTCCTTTATTTCAATGAAGTCAAATTATGTTCAAATCTGGTTTCTATTCTCTCTCTAATATTTGATATCTGGTTACAGTTTTGATTCTTGCTGGCTGCACTGCTGTTCGAATTAATTGTATTTTATTTATTCCAATTTCTATTCTTTTCCAGTGTGGTGCCATTTATTTGCTTTGAAGGATCTTTAATGATTAAGAGGTCTGTGAGTGGTAATGTTTTGGGTTGAATTGAAGTCTTTTGCTTCCATGTTCTGTTTTTGGTACAGAGATTTTAAAGTTGATGTATAATTTTGGATTGAACTTCTTATTGTATTAATATTTGTGTAGGTCATTGCTGCTCTGGGCTAGCAGTATTGTTCAATTCTATTGATTATGTCTGATTAAGAGCTTGAGGTTTGTTACTTTATCTTTTCATTTCACTCCTTAACCTTATACAGGTTATGCAGTTTTAAGACTACTAGACTTCGAATGTGTTAGCCCTGGTTCTCTTCAATACATAGCCTATTATTTGTAGCTGACACAGTGGTTTGTGTTTTCAAGGATTGATGGTTGAAGTAGTGAAATGTATTAATCTAGCAAAGCTATAGAACTTGAGCTAACCTGACATGCTATTGTGATGTATCTTTAGAAGTTCAGTTGGAGGGTGATGAAAGAATGCTGGAGTACTTTTTTCCCCAAAGACATCCATATCTGATAATTATATTTGAGTCATCCGGTGAAGCAAAGTTTGTTGATCTATAATTTAGTTACCGAGATATGGATTGTAGATCAATCAGACTTTTACTCCTTGGACAAAGTAGGTTGTTTAATGAGACTGGATATATGAAGCTAAACTGAGTTCTTACTGCTCTTCAATTGTCATATTGAATTATTTGAAACTTGCCTTGATACTGGGGAAAAATATAACCCATTTTGTTGCTGCTGAAGGTTACAATATTGAAAAAGTTTGGCTGTGAGGACTGTGTTGAATATGCTGAATTTTTTCTTTTTTACAATCAACAGAATTACAACTTAAAAGTGGAGGAAATTTTGTTATCGTAAGACGTAACCTCCAAATTTTTTTTATTTCTTTTGTAAATCAGTATGGAGTAGTGAATAAATGTGCTTCGAATCATCATTAGTCTGTTACTTTGTTTCTGAACCGAAATTAATTTGTCGTTCTTGAATCATCTCAAATTCTCTCGTGATTTGATTTGATTTTTAGAATTTCAAGTTTATCCCTATTTTTAACTTCTGTTGTTTAAATGGTACACGCCAATAATGTGATGAGATTTCAATTTACTGGTTCCATGGTTCACCATGTGGCGGACCTTCATGATGTCCCCATGAGTATCCTTGCTTGATGTCTGGCGAACACCAATTCGCTGGAGGAAACCTCGGTTTGACCGCTAATGCCCATGGTTTGCCTTTGTTTGTCGACGATGCTCCACAGTATACAAGGCTTCCTTGTGGTTTGCCATTATGTGGCCTCTTTGTTCCTATGTGGCGTCTTCACTCTTACGTGGCAACCACGTTAGGATAAGGTATAACAACTCACATTGGAATGGACATCATCGACGCTTTGAAGAGGCAGAGTTGAAAATTGTCTGGTTCTGAGGGTTAGGCATCTGACCTGCATTTGGCTTCTAAAATTACTTTTGGGAAATTATGGGTTCTCGTAAGTGGTGACTTTGTTGGAGTGAGGGTATTATCATGTTATGTGTCAAAATAATGCAGTTTATCGTAGGTTCTTTTAATGAAATGACATTCTGTCAAATTTGGTTCATCATTTCTCCATTTTTAATATGAACGTTCTTTTAATGAGTTGAAATTCTGTTTTCTAATTGATCAAGTTCTTTCTTGCCATGATTTCAGTATTTTCGATTTCTTTCTATTTTGTTTGATCATTCTGTATTAATTCGATTTTTTTTTTTTTACTATGCTAATTAGTTTTAATGTTTGACATCAGCATTCAGTTTTTTTATTGTGGTTGCTGGCTGAAGTTTTTTCCTTCCGTCTTCAAGTTGTACATGTATTTTTCAGCAATCAAAAAATAACTTCATATGGCCATTTGCAAGTAAAGCATAGCGTTCTAAAATATCACAGGATTGAGACTGTACGGAGTGAAATGTGAATTGTATGATCGTAAGGGAAATGAAATATTAGTAGGCTTGCAGTTATTTTTCTGTTTGAAGTTATACTCTGAATCTTTTGAATTGTAGGATTAAATTGCTAAACTCTAATATAGACACTGGCCATACTGGGTAATTGTTATGTCTTTTGTGCAAAAATTCATGACTTGATGTATTATTCTTCAACTATATGTACAAGCTTTTTCAATTTATTTTTATTAGTAAGCAGAAAGTCTAAACATAATTAAATCAGTTTCTCCAGTGGATACTTTAGTATTGAGGTCTATGATTTTGGTATCTATTCATTTCACTCCCTAAATTTTTTGCAGATATGGCCCTTTAGGAGATCGATGGAATAATTTTGACGTGTGACGTCAAATGTGAATCTTGTGTCGATTTGTGGATAGCTTGTTCTTGTAGGTGAAGCAGTTGTTTGTGTTTTACAAGATTGATTGTATAAAAATTTAGTGAAAAGCCTTTCTTTGGAGCCTATAAATCATTGAGCAAGTAGGATGTTTAGCAAGACTGGATAAATGAAAGCTAAACTGAGTTCTTCTTTAATTATTCAAGACTTGTGTTGATCCTAGGAAAGGAAATATAACCCAGTTTATTACAAGTGAATTATAAAGTCGTGATTTAATCCAACTAGTTTGGTTGTGAGACCTCTATCGAAATTGTTAATCTTCTCTTATAACTTTTTCCTAGATTGTAAGTATTGCAACTTAACCTGGAGGAAATATTGATTCAGAAATTCCCAAAATTTGCCTTTTATGTTTTCCGCAAATGTGTTACTATTTTTAATTGGTGTATACCAATAATGTTGTGAGATTTCAATTCTGAATCTTGTCGATGATGGCTGTTGTGTGCATCTGGATTCAGTTTCCAATTTTTAAATTATAACTATTAATTGTATTTGGTTTTTGTAGTATTTCTATTTTTTTATTTTTAACTCTTTATTTGTCCTTGTTCCTAATAAATTTTGATATGTGAAATTCTCGTCTGTTGGTAGATTGAAATGGTTTATTGCTATCTACTGGAATGTTACTTTTATGTTTTTCTATAAATAGCTTTTCTTTTGTTGTGGACTCAGATTTCTGATGGTAGTTATATATTCCTATCCTTTTTGAAATCGAACCATTTATTGTTTGGTAGCTTACCTTTGTAGTTCAGATATCCAAAACGTAATTAATTGCCTTCCTGTCTGTAACAAAATTTTATATTTTGAAGGAAAAAAATAAATCTGAAATACGGGTTCGTTTGAAGTTAATTTTCCGTCTCTTATTGAGATTGAAGTTCTCAATTGGTTTGTAAGCACAGTTTGATAGCAATGCAAATGCAGATTCTGATTTGCCATTGGTCAATTGGTCAGTTATATTTTTATGAGCTCCGTGTTCTGGTTCGAATGTCTTTTTTATGGGAGAGAATCCCTATATCTGTTATGTTGTTGGTTCATGATCAAGATGCTTCTTATTTACCATTTGGATCGAGGCTGTTCTAGTTTATCTCTGTTCTAGGTTGATTAAATATTATCTATCATATGCTAAAGCTGAAGTATCAAGACGATCTAGCTGCTGCTCTGAGCAAAGAGGTACTTTGTTTCCCTCTTTGCGAGAAAATAATGCTATGTTATTTTCCTATTGTTTAGTAATAATTGCTCAAGTTCTAGACCTATTTGATAGGAATTCTGACTGAATGCAATGATGTGAAGTTGTGAACCAGTCTGTCATCAGCAGAACTGGTAGTAATGGAAGCGACTGGAAAAGGTGATAACTTCTTTTTTTATTTCTCTCCTATTGCCAGATTCTCGTTTAGTTGATGAAGAATGCACCTGGGAAGCCATTCTAATCCTAATGCTGAGTTAAGTATGGCTAACTATCTAAGCTCTTTGAAACTTTAAATGATCTTTAAGCTTTTACCACATTAAGGCTCCGTTTGGGATTGATTTTAGAGCTCAACTTCCGATCAAGTTGGTTTAGGCAAACGATAAATTATAAAAAAGTGATAATCTGTACCATTTGACATCATATTTGGAGTAGTAGCAAAAAAGTGGTTTTTCATATTATGCTTTTAGTTCTTTCAATTATCTAAAATTAAAATATCATCTTTAACCCTAATAATTAAATAAATTCCTTTTTGTAATATGGACTATGCTTTTATTTTGTAACTTTATATATTTTAAGATTTTAATGGATATTAATTTTTTGAATTTAAAATAATTATAGTAAACGCACTGTATTAAAAAGTAATTGTAATATTAGTTATTATTGTAAAAACAAAAATAAATGTTGCAATGTACTAATGTTAATTAATAAGACAAAAAAATAACATAAAAAATCATTTTAGTTTATCGAACACTTAATTATTTTTTCAACACAATTATACCTAATTTTCTTAAATGCACTGCTATACCGAACCCATAACTTAAATGTTTTGGTGGCATCATAAACTATTACTTTTGTCATTCTTTGATGATTAATGTATTTCTTATAATGATGTTTATAGTTGAGCAATATCTACCTGTTTTTTCCTTTTTCTTATGAAATATCGTTAGTGGTTGGAACAAAGAAGTGTGCAAAGGTAGAAGCTATAAAACCGTAGAGAGATATATATATATACACTTTCATGTTTGAGGGAAAATCTAAAAAATAAATTATTCGTTTTCATTTAGCTGTTTTAGTTTTTAAATGAAATAGTTCGACATGGTATTGGAACAAACAAAACTAATAAGGCCTAATATCTTGGTCCACTAGTTCGTGGAAATTGTGTTCATGTCGGGCACTTGATCTATAGGCACCTTAACTAAAGCCTTCTTTCGTAAATAAATCTTAAATATAATGTTTATTTTATTATAGATTAATTGCTAATCCTGTATTACTGAGAGTAAGAATAATATGAAATGAAAAACAAAAGCAAGAAAATTACATAATTTTAAGTGGTTCACTATCAATAGAAGGGTTATAAGTGCTCAGTGTTGTACTCTTTTTTGGACTCATACCTCACTCTATTTTTTATCCCCTACAAAAAATGCTCCACTAATACCAAAAATGCTCCACTACTTACTACCTTTGATATTGGGGAAAATATTAAGGAGATCTAATACATGTGTAAATTGTATTTCCATACAAAATGTGACATTCACCCCTTTAAGGAAAACAAAAGTTCAAGCTATCCTAAAATTCCTCATCAACAACCAACTCAATCCTCTTCCTCATCTTCCCTCACCCCTCCACTCTATAACAAGTCTTCATTTATAAGAAAAATGAATGGCACCACTCAACTTTCCTTTTCCAACACTCAAGTCACGCAAACAATTTTAATCTGAGCTCCCGTCTGGTTTAGATATAAATCAAAATTTTAGTAGATTTTGATAGAAGTTGATAGAATTTGTTGTTAAAAAAATTGTGAATTTCATGAGATGCGTGTTTAAAATTTAATTATTGATTCTAACTAATATTTTAATCAATTTTTTTAACTAAATCAAACCTGCTTAATTTTGATAAGAATATTGCTAGTACTGTACAAGTCCAAACCCAGTCTCTCTCTCTCTCTCCCTGTGTGTGAATGTGTGTGTGAGAGAGAGAGAGAGGGGAAAAAAAGTCAAGAAAAGTGGGGGGTATGTGAATATATAATTGGTTTTGTTTAGAGTGAGAGATGCTTTAATTGGGCATATTTTCAAAAGCATATAAGGTGTAATCTATCTTTTAATGCGGAGTGCTATGCTTTCCAAGCGTGGTTGTTTTTTGTTGGAGAATCCACAACCAAATGGCTCCATGCTTTCCTCTCCTCATCTGTCCCACCATACTTCATGTCCACCTACTATTATTATTTTCTCGTATTGCTTCTATACATGTGTAAATATCACGTCGAATAAAGATAAATATCGACCAGTATACAAGTGTCTGAATTACTTCTTTTAATAAGATCTTTCTTTTAAAATGGAACGTCGAGTCTTAATATAATATTTGATCTCAATAAATATTAAATCAACAATTCGATTCGATTAAGACTCAAACAAGAACACTAACTCAATGATTGACATTCTCAAACGTGCTAATCTTGTATGGGCTTGTTAAAGATAAATCCTACGTTCATTTTCGCTAAAACGAATTAATTGATTCGTCTAACTTTAAATGAAAATTAAGATTTCTACAATGACCTTTGAACCTAGAAAAGATTTTAATTAAAGATAATTAAATAATAAATAGAATAATTAAAAAAACACCTAAGATGTGCGTAGGCTTTGCTTTACATCTCATCTAATCTGTCAAGGTTTAAACTTGATTAGGCGTCTTTAATGTTCCCCTCGCTTCAAACAGTTGGGCATGAAAATAGGTATATTTATTTATATAAAATTCATAATTCAGAGTACTTCTTAATTAATTAATTAATTATAATCTTCTTACTCTGTGTCTGTTGTGCACAAGAAGATCTTTTTCAGGTGATAAAATCACGTCCCCTTTCAATTATTTAATTGGTAACACACTAGTGGCTTTATTTTTCTCCATTCGTTTATCTAATTATCCTTTTTAATTAATTATTGAGTAGGAATGGGTTCCCACGAGCGATCGTCTCCTTAATGAGCCGAGCTCGGCTCGTCTAGCTAGCGGTCTGCTCGGCTCGTGCTCAGGGCTCGTGGGTCGCTACAGCCGAGAGGTCGAGCCGCTCAGCTCGATTGCCACCACTAGGTGGAAGAATAATTGAAGGAATTTATATGAATAAAAAGGAATTGTCAAAATTCGATAATGGTAGAAGATTTGACTATTTCGAATAAATACCTACTACATTGTGATAATTTGGAAAATATTTTGGACAAAATGCTTCGTATCTTTGAACTTTATATTGATGTTGATGCATTGTGATTACATAATTAGTGATTCTTAATTTCAATATATTTGCATGGTAAAATATTTTGGACAAAATAATTATAATTTGAATACATAATTTATTTCTCAATATTCTCAGGCTTATTTCAATTAACAAGAATAAATGATGGCACATCAATAATTTTTCCTTATTTTTCAACCGCACATTCTCCATCAATCTACTATTTCAAAATACATTCTTTCAAAATAATGTGCCTCAAACACACCCTAAATGTGATTTGAATAGTTTAAGAAGTAGAATATTAAAACATGTGATTTATTAAATACAATTATTGTACATTAAGCCCATGTTTGAGCCAAAATTCTAATTCACATTCTCATACTCATTTTCAACTACACATTTTTCAATAAAATAATATTTTTCATCACATCAATAACTTTTTCTTCTTTTTCAACAACACATTCTCCCAAAATAATGTGGTTCAAACACACCCTAAAAATAGATGATGTGTTTGACTTTCAAAATTTGGACAGTCAAACACATACTCTAACTAATTTTTAATCATTGACTATCTAAAATGGAAATTATTTTATATTTAGAAAATCTCGTGAAAATGTTTCAAGCGGTCAATTTTTTCGTGTCTCGAGCCTAAATAGATCTTTTAGAACCGCGTAGTTATTCATTACAAAAAGAGGAAAGTGACAAAATAAACGAAGGGTCCCTGGTCCCCCAATATACGTAATTACATCCAAAAACGTGGGCAACATAGTACCACACTACACCCTGTCACCCACAACCACAAGTCTACATGTTGGCACCCTGCCCAGTAGAAGGCAGACATACCACCTCACCCCAGTCGCCTCTTGGTTCAATTCCCGGTGCATTCCTCCTATATATATAACATTAATCCTCCACTAGATTTCACGTCACCTTCGTCTCTATCCCACGAAAATCTATAACCTTCATATTCATCACAATAGTGGTGCTGTATCGTGTCGTTTTTGGTTCTCTGCGCCTGAACGAAGGGAGGAAACTAATGGGTATATGCAGTTCTTCTGAGTCGAAGACTACTTTGACGGCAAAGTTGATATTGGATGAT